CAAAGGTTTGCAACAAGACTAGTCCCAGAGCTAAGAGGTATGTCCTACGAGGAGAGGTTAAGGGGAAATCAACCTGACGACACTGGAGGACAGGAGAGATAGGGGGGACATGATAACGACATACAAAATACTGAGAGGAATTGACAAGGTGGACAAAGACAGGATGTTCCAGAGATTGGACACAGTAACAAGGGGACACAATTGGAAGCTGAAGACACAGATGAATCACAGGGATGTTAGGAAGTATTTCTTCAGCCACAGAGTAGTCAGTAAGTGGAATAGTTTGGGAAGTGATGTAGTGGAGGCAGGATCCATACATAGCTTTAAGCAGAGGTATGATAAAGCTCACGGTTCAGGGAGAGTGACCTAGTAGCGATCAGTGAAGAGGCGGGGCCAGGAGCTCGGACTCGACCCCCGCAACCTCAACTAGGTGAGTACACACACAGAGTATGGATTCATGGAAGGCAAATCCTGTGTCATAAACCTACTGGAGTTTTAATGACAAGGTAACTGAAGTAAGACATGAGAGTGAGGGGTGGGTCGATTGCATTTTCTTGGACTGCAAGAAGGCCTTCGACAAAGTTCCTCACAAGAGATTAGTGCAGAAGCTAGAGGATCAGGCACATATAACAGGAAGAGCACTGCAATGGATCAGAGAATACCTGACAGGGAGGCAACAGCGAGTCATGGTACATGATGAGTTATCACAGTAGGCGCCTGTGATGAGTGGGGTCCCACAGGGATCAGTCCTAGGACCAGTGGTATTCTTGGTATATGTGAATAACGTGACAGAAGGGATAGACTCAGAAGTGTCTATATTGCAGATGATGCGAAGTTAATGAGAATTAAATCAGATGTGGACCAGACAGGTCTACAAAGAGACCTGGACAGGCTGGATGTGTGGTCCAGCAACTGGCCCCTAGAATTTAACCCCACCAAGTGCAAAGTCACAAAGATCGGGAAAGGGCAAAGAAGACCTCAGACAGAGTATAGGCTAGGCAGCCAAAGACTGCAAACCTCACTCAAGGAGAAAGATCTGAGGGCGAGTATAACACCGAGCACGTCGCTGGAAGCCAACATTAACCCAATAACTGCTGCAGCATATCAGCGCCTGGCAAACCTGAGAATAGCATTCTGATACCTCAATAAGGAATCGTTCAAGACTCTATACACAGTGTACGTCAGGCCCATACTGGAGTACACAGCACCAGTTTGGAACCCACACCTGGTCAAGCACATCCAGAAATTAGAGAAAGTGCAAAGGTTTGCAAAAAGGCTGGTTCCAGAGCTAAGGGGAATGTTCTATGAAGAAAGGTTAAGGGAAATCGGTCTGATGACACTGGAAGACAGGAGGGTCAGGGGTGATATGATAACAACATACAAAATACTGCATGGAATAGATGAGGTGGACAGAGACAGGATGTTCCAGAGATGGGACACAGAAACATGGGGTCACATTGGAAGTTGAAGACTCAAATGAGCCAAAGGGATGTTAGGAAGTATTTCTTCAACCAGAGTTGTTAGGAAGTGGAATAGTCTGGCAAGTGATGTAGTGGAGGCAGGAATCATACACAGTTTTAAGATGAGGTATGATAAAGTTCATGAAGCAGGGAGAGGGAGGACCCAGTAATGGTCAGTGAAGAGGAGGGGCCAGGAGCTGAGTATCGACCCCTGCAACCACAATTAGGTGAGTACACACACACATGATGTGAAGCTGATGAGAAGAATTTGATTGGATGAGGACCAAAATTCAGTCACATGCTCCCCATTATCATTTACACCTGGCACCCCAAACTTGCCTACCTTCATTAGAGATTCGCCAGTACTTCTGGCCCGGGTCTTCTCCATGTGGCGACCCGGCTACTTACCTACCACACCCTCTGTAAATGCTTCTCCTACTTTAGCATTTAGGGCCCCTACCACAGTTACTCTCTCACTTGGCTCAAAAGTTCCTACACTCTCTCTCAACATCTCCCAAAATCTCTCTTTCCTGTACACTCCTCTCTTCTCCAGGTGCATACACACTTATTATGACCCACTTTTCATATCTGACCCTAATTTTAATCCACATAATCCTTGAGTTTATACATTTATATTCCCTCTTCTCTCTCCATAACTGATCCTTCAACATTATTGCTACCCCTTCCTTAGCCCTAACTCTCTCAGATACTCCTGACTTAATCCTATTTATTTCTCCAGACTGAAACTTCCCTAACCCCTTCAGCTTTGTTTTGCTTAGGGCTAGGACATCCTACTTCTTTTCATTCATAACATTAGCAGTCATTTCTTTCTTATTATCTGCACTACATCCACATACATTCAGACATCCCAATTTTATAAAGTTTTTGTTTTCCTTGCTTTTAGTAGTTTATACAGGAGAAAGGCTTACTAGGCCATTGCTCCTGGCATTTAGTCGCCTCCTACGACACGTATAGCTGTTGTCTTATTTCATCACTGTCCCAGTTAATATGCACTATACTGTACTTATAAGGTGGTGAGGAGAGGTGCAAAATTAAAAGATCATGAATCTAATAGAGTGGAAGTTGTCACAGTTGCTTTATGCTGATGACACAATTCTTTGGGGAAATTCTGAAATAATAATAATAATTATAATAATAATAATTATAATAATCTTCTTATTCTTTTTAGTAATCTTTACAGGAAAAGGGGTTACTAGCCCATTGTTCCCGGCATTTTAGTTGACTTTTACAACACGCATGGCTTACGGAGGAAAGATTCTTATTCCACTTCCCCATGGATATAAAAGGAAAAGTAATAAGACCAAGAACTATTAAGATAAAATCAAAGAAAACTCAGATGAGTGTGTATAAATAAACGTGTACATGTATGTGTAGTGTGACCTAAGTGTAAGTAGAAGTAGCAAGACGTACCTGTAATCTTGCATATTTATGAGACAGACAAAAGAGACCAGCAATCCTACCATCATGTAAAACAATTACAGGCTTTCGTTTTACACTGACTTGGCAGGATGGTAGTACCTCCCTGGGTGGTTGCTGTCTACCAACCTACTACCTATAAAAGGAGGGGTTTGGGATATTGGCAGTTTGGAGGGATATGTTGTGTATCTCTATACATATATGCTTCTAAACTGTTGTATTCTGAGCACCTCTGCAAAAGCAGTGATAATGTGTGAGTGTGGTGAAAGTGTTGAATGATGATGAAAGTATTTTCTTTTTGGGGATTTTCTTTCTTTTTTTTGGGTCACCCTGCCTCGGTGGGAGACGGCCGACTTGTTGAAAAAAAAAAAAAAAAAAAATTATAATAATAATAATATTTCAGCATGACACATTGTACAAAGGTGAATGACATTTGGGTGTATATGCAGAAAGCCCCTAAATGTGCAGAGCATTTTGGGCAAAGGTTAGTAGACAAATCTGGAAGGGTATTTAAAAGAAGAAAATTCGAAGGAAACACAAAAAACACAGTAATGAGAATGACTAAAACTCTAGCCAGTGAAAGATTGGCTATCAGATTGGAGGGAGGAAGTATGGAGAAAGTGAATGCTTTTAGATATTTGGAAGTGGACTTGTTGGCAGATGGGTCTTTGTAAGAAGAGAGTAACCATAAAATTGAAAAGAGGAAAAAGGTAGGTTGTGCATTAAGGCATCTGGAGACAAAAAACCTTATCCCTGGAGGCAAAAAAGGGAAATGTACAAGAGTAGAGTGGTACCAAAACATGGGTGTGAAACATGGGTTTTATATTTTGCAACGAAACTGGAGGCAGTGGAGGTATATTAGAGGGTAATGTGCAGAGAATTCAGAGCTTGGAGATTAGATATGGGGGTTATCAAAAGTATTATTCAGAGAGAAGAGAAAGGGTTATTGAGGTGGTTTGGACATTTAGAGAGGATGGAGAAAAATAGGATGAGTAGAAGGGTGGGGGAAAGAAGGGGCACGGGTCATCTCAGGAAGGTTGAATGGAGGGGAATTAATGGAGGTTTTGAGATCTAGTAGCTTGGACTTCCAACAAGCTTGTGAGAGCATGTAAGAAGTGATTGGAGGCAAGTGGTTTTTATGATTTGATGTTTTAATGGAGTGTGAGCAAATTAACAAAAATGAAGGAATTCGGGGAAACTGGTTATCCAGACTTGAGCCCTGGATGTGAGACGTACAGTGATTGCACTTCGAAGGTGAAATGTGGATGCTGCAGTTCAAACAGTCATCTGAGCTGTAAAGTCAGCATATTTCTGGAAAGACAGTGATTGAATGAATAACAATGAAAGTATTTCTTCTTTTTGGAGTTGTCCTACCTTGGTGGGAAATGGGCAGTGTTAAAATGATATTTAAAAGCCTTCATGGCAGAGATTTTTTCTTTATATAAATCATTATAAAATTTCAAGCTTGAGTAAACCATTTGCAGTTATGCAATTCTTCTTCTTTTAACGCACCGGCTGTATCCCACCGAGGCGAGGCAGGGTGGCCCAAAAAGAAAAACAAAAGTTTCTCTCTTTAAACCTATAAACCTAGTAATTTATACAGGAGAAGGGGTTACTAGCCCTTTGCTCCTGGCATTTTAGTCGCCTTTTGCAACACGTATAGCTTACTGAGGAAGAATTCTGTTCCACTTCCCCATGGAGATAAGAGGAAATAAACAAGAACAAGAACTAGTAAGAAAATAGAAGAAAACCCAGAGGGGTATGTGTATATATGCTTGGACATGTATGTGTAGTGTGACCTAAGTGTAAGTAGAAGTAACAAGATGTACCTGAAACCTTGCATGTTTATGAGACAGAAAAATGGACACCAGCAATCCTACCATCATGTAAAACAATTACAGACTTTCGTTTTACACTCATTTGGCAGGATGGTAGTATGTCCTTGTCTACCAACCTACTACCTATAAGTTCTGCAATTGTGATGGAAAAATTTGGATAGGTTTCTCAGTAAAGTAGGTAAAAATTACACATCTCTACAGTTATGTTTTAAAATGTCAGATTTGTTAGTCTTTATTTACTTATTATATGTTTTACTCTGTTTTCAGAACTTGTGAACATGATCTCTGTGACTTTGACCCATATCTCAATAAGAAACACCTTACTGAAACATTAACACTTGTTGTTGCGCTCTTCCATGAACAAGATTGTCAGAATAAGGACACTAGTTTTGTAGACTCCAGGCTATTTCCTGACTGTTGTGATGAAGAAATTTGGAATGACAGTAATGATGATACAAGTGAAAGCAAGATTGTTCAGGATGCAAGAACTACTGAAAAAAAATTCCATAGAAGAACAAGAAAGGAAGGTGGAATAAGCTTAAGAATGTCTGGTGATTCATGTCTAGACCAAAACTCAAGCACAGGTGTAACAAATTCATTAAGAGAATTAAGTCTTGCAAACAATTCAGGAGGTTTTGCAGATTCTGAAATATCATCATTCTCAGTACCAACAGGTAGAACAAAAGAATGTGAAAATAAAGTGATTTCTGGTTATACATTCAGGGAGGAAGCAGAGGCATTGTATTTGCTAGTAAACTTTGGAAATGAAGAAGTATTGATGCATGCATTTCAGCTTCAAAAAAAGATAAGGTACAGTATTGCTGCACTATCATTTTCATAAGTCCCAGTAGCTATTTCAGTATTTATTTAATTTTTATATGATTTTGTATTCATTGTTCACTATATTATGCTGTAATTACACTTCCTGTCCCATATAGAGTGACAAAGAGCCTGTCACTTAAGGGTTCTTGATCCAACAATTTGGAATTACCTTCCAAGTTGATCAAACTGATTACCTCCCATTTTCCAGGTGCTGTATGACCTGTAAGAATCAAGAAGGATTAGTGGAATGATGAGGTTGATTGGGTGATATGTGAGAAAAAGCTACCTGATGAGAAGTTTTTACAATGTAAAAGTGATATACAAAAGGCAGAGTATATGTAGAGTAAAATATTCAGGAGAATAGAAATTAAAAGACAGTGTCATGTTATTTTTTTTTTTTCAACAAACTGGCTGTATCCCACCAAGGCGGGGTGGCCCAAAAAGAAAAACGAAAGTTTCTCTTTTTAAATTTAGTAATTTATACAGGAGAAGGGGTTACTAGCCCCTTGCTCCAGGCATTTTAGTCGCCTCTTACAACATGCATGGCTTACGGAGGAAGAATTCTGTTGCACTTCCCCATGGAGATAAGAGGAAATAAGCAAGAACAAGAACTAGAAAGAAAATAAAAGAAAACCCTGAGGGGTGTGTGTATATATGCTTGTACATGTATGTGTAGTGTGACCTAAGTGTAAGTAGAAGTAGCAAGACGTACCTGAAATCTTGCATGTTTATGAGACAGCAAAAAGGACACCAGCGATCCTACCATCATGTAAAACAATTACAGGCTTTTGTTTTACACTCACTTGGCAGGATGGTAGTACAGGTACCATCCAAATTACGACCGTAAGCCATGCGTGTTGTACGAGTCAACTAAAATGCCGGGAACAATGGGCTAGTAACCCTTTTTCCTGTAATAATTACTAAAAAGAATAAAGAAGATAATTGTCAAAGTGGGATGTCTGAATGTGCATGGATGTTGTGCGCATGATAAGAAAAAGATGATTGTGGATGTTACAAATGAGAAGAAGCTGGATGTCCTGGCTTTAACCCTTAAACGGTACAAACAGATCGACGTTCAAATTCGTAGTGCTACAGAAGTAGATCTACTTTTTTTTACATATTTTCAAATATAACAAAAAAAATGTAGATAAAAGTTTTTTACACGTTTTCACATGTAAAACAAAAAAAAAATCTACATTTTTTTACATACTTTCAGATGTTGAAAAAACGTATATATACGTTTGGACCATTTAAGAGTTAAGTGAAACAAAGCTGAAGGGGGTAGGAGAGTTTCAGTGGAGAGGAATAAATGGGATTAGGTCAGGGGTTTCAAATAGAGTTAGAGCTAAAGGAGTAGTAGCAATAATGTTGAAGGATAAGCTATGGCAGGAAAAGAGGGAGTGTATAAATGTATTAATTCAAGGATTATGTGGAGTAAAATAAAGGTTGGATGTGAAAAGTGGGTTATAGTAAGCATATATGCACCTGGAGAAGAAAGAAGTGTAGAGGAGAGAGAGGGATTTTGGGAAATGTTGAGTGAATGCGTGAGGAGTTTTGAACCAAGTGTGAGAGTACTTGTGGTTGGGGATTTCAATGCTAAAGCGGGTAAAAATGTTGTGGAGGGAGTAGTAGGTAAATTTGGGGTGCCAGGGGACTTACGAAGAAGAGGATAAATAAATATACAAGGTATAATATAGCACGTAAAGTAGTTTATTAGATTATGTGTTGGTGGATAAAAGGTTGATGGGTAGGCTCCAGGATGTACACGTTTATAGAGGGGCAACTGATATATCGGATCATTATTTAGTTGTAGCTACAGTTAGAGTAAGAGGTAGATGGGACAAGAGGAAAATGACAACAAGTAAGAGGGAGGTGAGTGTTTAAACTAAGGGAGGAGGAAGTTCGGGTGAGATAAAAGTAACTATTGGCAGAAAGGTGGGCTGGTGCAAGTATGAGTAGTGGGGGGGTTGAAGAGGGTTGGAATAGTTTTAAAAATGCAGTATTAGAATGTGGGGCAGAGGTTTGTGGTTATAGGAGGGTGGGTGCAGGAGGAAAGAGGAGTGATTGGTGGAATGATAAAGTAAAGGGTGTGATAAAAGAGAAAAAGGTAGCTTATAAGAGGTTTTTACAAAGCACAAGTGTTATAAGAAGAGTAGAGTATATGGAGAGTAAAAGAAAGGTGAAGAGAGTGGTGAGATAGTGTAAAAGGAGAGCAGATGATAGGGTGGGAGAGGCACTGTCAAGAAATTTTAGTGAAAATAAGATAATTTTTTAGAGTGAGTTAAACAAGTTAAGAAAGCCCAGGGAATGAATGGATTTGTTAGTTAAAAACAGAGTAGGGGAGTTAGTGGATGAGGAGATGGAGGTATTGGGTAGATGGCGAGAATGTTTTGAGGAACTTTTAAATGTCGATGAAGAAAGGGGAGGGCTACCACACCTGACTTCTTTATGTAAATACTACTCGCCTTTTGCCCTACATTAAGACTAAAAATATTTTGAGGTAAATAATGAGTGTACTGTGTGTGTATTTTACTTCTTATTGTTTTTAATGCCTAGTTCTGTTGCTAACTTAATAAAATTTTGT